ACGATGATGCAATTGCTTCAACACGAATCATTCTGTATGTGGCAATCGAATGTGAAAGAAAGCTCAAGTGAAATTGAAATTGTACGGATTCTATACCAGAATAGTTTCAACGGATTTATCAATTTTTTGTTTTCCAAATATGAGACATTGAAAATACTATAAATTAATTCATTCACTGCTTTATGAGAGCACTAAATTTATCGGACATACTGTAGACAAACTCAATATACTTTTCAATCACGATTCTCTCGGAGATTACAGAAAATTGAATAATATAGGGTGATTCATTTGAAAAAAATTGCTCGGAACCCATAACTCAAACGTGCATGGAGCACCCTGTATATATGGTTTCTACTTATAAATGTGGCACATTCAGAATAAAAATGGACGCCTACCAGGAGATTCTTTGAAAATGAATAGTTTGGCTAAAATTAATTTCTCAAGTACTTTACGAAAGAACTGTATAATATGATAAGAAGATGAACCCTACGACCTTATTCTATATAACTCGTTTTCATTACTCAATTGTGTGAAACATTAAATAACTCATTTTTCATCTGAAATCCAATGTCTTTATAGTTTCAGATTCAAATGAAAATGTAAAATTGTTCTGATGAGTTTAGTTGAATATGACGCACTATATTTTCACAATAGAAGTTGATTCAACTCGTTAGTAACTAGGGTTTATCACTGGAATTTCAGGAACATTAAAAACATGAATTCGTTTCCAACCATACTATCTCATATTACATCTCTACATTGCTATATTACATCTTAACAAAATTATCACGATAATCATCTAATTGGTCGAAAATCAATCTATGGAATATTTTAAGTGTTTTAAGTGTTTTTAACCGCCAGCTTAGTTGCAAAGCAACCCTCGAAAGTCAGAGACTTGTGTGAGTTAAGAAGACGGGGACCTTAGCTTTTTAAGTGTCATCCGAAGCACTACTCGGCTGGTAACCGTGGACAGTCCAAAGGATTGATATCTAGGTACCAAGAATGTTGGGTTGGCCACCTATCTCCTCCCGCCCAACGAAACTACCGAAAATTAATTCAGTGCTCGCGCCGGGGATCGAACCCGGACCGCCTGGGCGACAGCCAGCGACTCTACGCTCACGGCCACCAGCCCAGTTGCCTGAGCACATCAAACTATCTTCGTCTTCGGATGAAAGTAATAACACCTACACATTATAGCGATCCTGAAGAAAAAAGAGTAGTTTCCTCAATCAATATATCCTGTATCAGGGAGTAAAAGTATTTCGAAAATCTTGGAACCTCTCGGCTAATAATCCAATAGGTACTCTAACTACTGGATCAATTCACCAATCAGGAAAAGAGTGTACACAATAGCTTATCTATCGGACCGGCTTCATCCGCTCAATTAGGAAATGGTCGAACCGTGCAGGAGTCACTCCCTCTAGGAAGAGCTGATTGTCGTGCAAAGATATCTCACTGTATCTGTAAAGGATGCTCAATCCACTGAATTTATAATTCCCTCTTTGACGTCAGGGCGTTGGTTCAGCCTCACAGATAACGCAGATCCTGTGATTATAGAATTCCACAGACCACATAACTTATGCATTAACTTCAACTGTCGTCACCTCCTCCAACTATATACACAGTAGAAAATCGATAGGAAATTTGACACCAAATTAACACCACGCGTGGTCTATTTCGATACACACCATTTTTGTGTATAATCAACACCTTACAAGCAGTGTTCAATTGACATGTGGCGGTGCATATAATGCACACCCGTCATTGTTCAAATTTGAGTCTCAATAGTGTCAAGTTGACTATCAGGAGGTGTAAAAATACATCTTCCGCGGTGTATAAGGAACACCTAATGGTGCATTTTTTTCACCAGATGAGATGCGAATTTACCTTTAACGGTGTTAGTTTTTACCCTATACAGAGTATACAAATATTGAAAATTGTAAAATTTTACACCATCTGTAGTGCGCTTAATTCACACCAAATGGAGTGTCGAACCCATCTAGAGCAGTGGTCGATTCAACACCAAAAATTATTGAAAACTTTCACACTAAATGGAGTGTACAACTCTCTTTTAGTGGTCATTTCAACACTGAAAATTGGTTAGAAATTATTTTCACACCAAATAGAGTGTGTAATTTTTACACACACAAGTGCCCAGTTGTTTTTTTATAATATCTATTGCCTACTGGTCCTGAAAGAAGTCGAGTTTATTTAGAGAATACTAAAATATAAGTACAAATTATGTTGTCCATGTTTACACTTTACCAACCGTTAAAAAATCGGGTTGGTTAGTGGTAAAACAGTGTAGTGTATTATCGTGCCAAAGGTTCCAGTCTTCGATATATTGTCCATGCTTATCTCGATGCTTGTTGAGTATATTTTTTTGTAATTCAAGTTCATATATTATATATAAGTCAACATTATGTTGTGGGTTTCATAATTATATTCAGTTCAAAAAAACGAATTTGAAATAATATCTCAAAAATCTTTATTCTTCTTGATCAGAAATGAGATGAAAAGGATTTTTCAACTTTCATAAAACTTGGAATTAAAAAATAAACTAAATGCTAACAAATTTGCTTCTCACTATAAATAAAGGAATCTCTGAAACGGTATGAGAGGTAGCATATCGCGGTTGAATTACAATGTTACATAATTTAGTATTTTATTTTGGAAGAAATGAAATCCAAAGGTGAAAAATCTAAACATTTCAGAAGTGATAAAGATATTTCGAGGATTCGTATGACTTTTTGTTCAGTAGGAAAAATGAATTCATCTATTAACCCATTTGACCGAAGAATCTCTATATATTTATTTCTGAGATGCCTGTAATGAAAAGCGAACTTGTGTCTGCATGGTACATAGTGATACCTACTACAACAAACAACAAATAACAGTGAAAAAAAATCACTAATAACTAAAATTCAACATCGAAATGTTTATAACATTAATAAAAAAGGAAATAAAAATGCGAATAGGCACATATACCTTACATATTATGAAAACTCAGTCAATAACAAATAAAAATCATGGGAAAGTGATGTTTAAATAGAGCTAAACATTGTGAGAAGTAATTCCATAAGTAACAGAAACTTTATACCAAAAGTATAATAAAACCACTGAATTATTTTTTAACTACAGTTCGAGAAAAATTCACTGCTTCTATTTCTCACTATCAAATGAATGAACATAATTCGATACATATAAGCTGGTTGGATGTTGGATGAATAATTGAAAGTCCTTTCAATGGAAGTATCGCATTCGTGACTCACATTTCGATTCAAGAATTCATTCATGACGTCATCACGCTCACAAAGATGAACCATATTTCTGTAGCATGTCTGATACTGCTATATTGACTATTAAACGACGATTTCTTCTTTTTTTCATACTCAGCAACCACTTTCGTGGCTCCTCTGAGGAGCAGTAAATTTTCCAAGCCCTATAATAGAAAGTACAAAAATTATGACTGTGGAGAAATAGTCCACTAAACAATTTGGTAGAGATATAGAAAACCTACATAAACTGATGAAGTATAACATTACATCAGAACATTAGTAATTACCTGTTTAGATATTGTATCATATATGCTATTCCAAACACAGATTGGGGTACAATGAATCCATCTTTATCAACTGTGATGATTTCGCTCTCTAAACTCCTTTCAAGGTTAAAGTCGTACTGGCACCGGTATACTGGTAATCAATTCTGTGCCTTCCTTATCGCTGTCAGCATGTTCAATTCCTTCTAAAAAATATTTTTTCTACTAGCGTGCGGAAAAGTCCACTTTTCCGCACTGGTGCGGAAAAGTAAATTCGTTCTGAAAATTGTTCTTATGCGTCATTCGGTTGCTAGTGGAAAAAATAGTCGTGCGTAAAGTGACTTTTCGCACTTGTTAGGTGAACTACTATTGCATGATATATTTGAAAAATACCTGAGCAAATTTTCATCCAACTTAAAAAAACGTATTATTGTTAAGTCTTTGGATTGATCATCTTTCCCATCTTGGAAAAAATATAGGTATTTATTCATCGTTCCATATACGTTTTTATAGTTGTGAAATTCAACTTACCAATGCTACCACTCGTGGAATCATGAGAATCATCGGGTGGTTCATGTTCATCCTGAGTAAGTTCAGCGCATTCAATTATTTTAAATTGGAAACCTTTTTCTGCTTGCTCCAGAAAGTTGGAGTATTCTTCCTCGTCAATAAGACAGCCACTCTCATCTGCTACTCGATATTCGGATACAGCGAATTCTTCTTTCTCCGAGAGGTCTCTGTCAAATTTTTTAAGACCTAGAAATGTAACTCAGTATCGATCTAATGCTGACAGCTCCAAAAGAAATAGCTCGGAAAATCAGTAGCGAAAAAATCGATTTCCCTTCCATTTTACCCTAATCGTAAAGAATCATGACTGAAGCCCGATAAGCGTGCGCATCCAAGTGAATATTATGTGAATATGTGAACGATGCTATTTAGCACCGTCTGGAGTACAAAACTCCGAACTGTGCTGTTATAGCACCGTTCAGAGTCCAACACTCCGTACTCATGTATTCATGTCATTCTATACGAAGAATAGGGAAAGACAGACTTACGGATGTAATGCATGTTTGGGTGGAATAGAAAGAGTAGACCGATACTGAATACCTTCAACAAAAACAAATTTGAGACAATATTTGGCAATATGGAAGATTTGTTGAAACTTATTTTCACTGATTGAAACGATTTCATAATGATAAGAACGACTATTGAGATATATTGACCTACCTACTTATGAATAATAGGTAAGTAGGTATCTAACAGTGAACATAGAACTTACCGATTTGGAGAAATTCCTTGTATGTCGTATTTTTATTCAACAACATCCACTTTTGTACATTACGGAATTCAACTTTTATGAACACTGACACCGACTTCACTCTATCAAACTATCCAATAATGATAAAGGCATGTAATAAGCCTGTATAATGGGGGATGCGACGCCGGACGCTGATGGACAATGGCAGCTGGGAGAGGAGACGGGACGGAAAGACTGATACAAGCATGCAAGGACGTGGAAGTGAGCAAGACCGACGCGAGGACCGACGTAAAACTGGCAATAAACGATAAGATGGCGTCAAAAGTTTCCGGTCAGTGTTATTTTGACCAAATGCGGATTCAACTCAAATCCAAACGGTTTACAATATTAATTTGAGTTTGCCTAAGTGTTGGAATGGAAAAAAGGGAGTTCTTATGAATGACCACTTCAATCGGGTATTAAACTCAACACCATTCAGTGAAAAATGTTTGAATCACGTCAGAGTGTGAAAGTTCACACCGCTCAAATTTTATACTGTGTAGGAATGATCTATCATTATACAAATGCAATTGAACATCCTTGATACTGTTGAACCTCAGTTTTTTCGTGAAGCTGTATTTTTAGTTCTTCAATGATGGATTCTATGGAAGTAAGTTTCAGATTCCTGAAGATTCGATTATTCCGATCAAACCAATTAAAACCATAAACCATTCTCGCAGTTATATGCATGAGGTTTTGCCATTTGGCTTCAAACTAGCGATATATCATCACGCCTCACAATACCATTCACGTTGATATACGAGTCAAACCAACAATAGCTATTTATATATCAAGGGAGCAATGATATCTATTTCCTCCCGCGTGTGAAGTTTGATGCCCGACGCGTAGCGGAACAGAATATACCGAGTATCAATAACGTATTCATTAGACATGGTTTCCAGGATTCTGAAGGTTAAGATATCCAAATTTGGGAGGAGTGTTGGATTCAAGAATTGTGGATTTTTTCGATATTAAATACTCTCTTATCACTTCCTGTTCCACCGGAAACGACTCCAACTTTCCATTTTCAAATCAAAATAAAGAATTCAACGATACCGGGTTCGATAGGGTTATTCCAAACGATTACGAAGATTTTGCATTCGAAATTTCCATATGTTCAACGGGTGTGACGGTGCAATATTTTCTTTCACTGTCACACTCCTTGATCATATGGAAATACCGAACGAGAATATCTTCGTAATCGTTCGAAATAATCCTATCAAACCCTGAGTTTTTTTCATGTTCTGGTTCCCACGAAAAAGGATATCCTGTGATGTTCAGAAAACATCTTGAGAACCAAGAGAAATAAGGTAGGCATTGGTGTTTTTCTTGAATTTCTGGAGGATATACAGGGTGTCCGGAGATAAAACCGACAAAACTGGTGAAGTTATAGGGACTGTCAATATGATTGCAAAATGCCATAAACCAATGTCCAAAACCACTTCGTTATTGACATACAGAGTGATTTGTGGATTTTGACAAAAAATTCAATCCGCCATATCAAATACAGGGATTAACCGATTAGATTCAAATTTGGTACACGAATTACACTGAAGAGCATCAACAAGTAGCCCTTTGATCGAAACCAATATCAGGACCGGAATGATATTTTTTCCCTATGTTAAGTTATTGTGAGAATAACTCACCCTGTATAATAATAACAAAAAATTTTAACTCAGATTCGACATCTACGGTAAAAATTGTATAGGAATTTGTTGAAAATCTCCTGGCACTATCTTAGATATTCCGTAATGAATTATTATTTTGATTTTTTCTCCCAAAATTCAATTATTGTCGGATAAAGTACTATCAAAATTGGTAATATAATAAATATTAACGAAACCATGACATGAATATCGTTATTTTCTTCAATCAGTCCGTAAATCGTAGTAAAATAAAATACTCTCATCACCCGAAAAAACTGAGAAATGAATTCGTATCAGGACTGGAATGCGGTTTTATGATTATATTCCTGTAAGAATAGATGATCTAAGTATAACAAGGATCTGATCGCAGATTCGAAATGCACTGAGAAAAGTTAAAAACTTGTTGAAAAATGATCGGATTGAACTCTCAAATAATAAATCCGTATCAGTACCTTATAATATTTGTGTATAAAGAATACTAGGCTTGTGTCAAATTCAGAATTTAATTATGGAAAACCATTGTTCAGCTGTCATCAGCGTTTGTTTTATTGGTGTTCATTCATTATTCCAATGTTTTTAGGATCAAACTATAGTTCTGAGAGTGTGCTTATGATGCCATTTCATTTCACTTATGAGGAATACGCAGATATTCTATTTGTGTTTGGGCTTTAACTGGTGATGTTTACCTAAATTTCCTGGTCAATACTTGACCGGATCTATTGCAAGGTGTAAATACCAGGGGTATATGGTTTCAGCATGATGGTGCTAGACCTCACTTTTCAGTTCCAGTTAGAAACCATCAAATTGGCCACCGCTATCCCCTGATCTAACTCAGCTAGATAATTTTTTATGAGGTCATTTAAAGTAAGAAGTTCATGATGAAGGAATTTTTTATGGTAAATTACTGCTGCATGTGTTGGTGTTAGAAATAACCCTCAAATAATTCGCAAGTCAGTGAATCATCTAATAGCACGCTCTCAAAAATGTATTGATGTTGGAGGGCTCCACTTCGAATGTTTTGTAATACTGATTAGTGAGAGTTTTTCACAAATTCGTTGCTTTTGTTATGTTTTGTTCGTTGTGTTGTATTCTCATAAATTCAAATTCATTAGTGAGCGAATATAATTTACGAAAACGTCACTGTTATCCTTCTTGAACAGGTTCTTATACGATTTTTTTAGATTCCGAATCTGAGATCAGATTATTGATAACTATTGATGTACTAGGTCAGCTAACATGACCAAACAAAATACTCATTCCAGTCCTGATACGAATTTATTCTTCAGTTTTTTCGGGTTACGAGAATATTTCATTTTACTCCGATTCATGAACTGATCGAAGAAAATAACGACATTCATGTCATGGTTTCGTAAATATACGTACTTTATCCGACAATGATTGATTTTTCAATGAAAAAAATCAAATTGATAATTAATTACGGAATAACTAAGATGGTGCCACGAGATTTTTATACAAATTCCTATACAATTTTCACCGTAAATTGCCAATCTGAGTTAGAATTTTTGGTTATTATGATACAGGGTGAGTTATCCTAACAATAACTCAACATAGGGGAAAAATATTATTCCGGTCCTCATATTGGTTTCGATCAAAGGGCTACTTGTTGATGCTTCTCAGTGTAATTCGGTTACCAAATTTGAATCCAATCGGCTAATCCCTGTATTTTATATGGCGGATTGAATTTTTTGTCAAAATCCACAAATCACTCTGTATCTCAGTAACGAAGCCGTTTTGGACATTCGTTTATGGCATTTTGCAATCATATTGACAGTCACTATAACCCCATGAGTTTTGTCGGTTTTATCTCCGGACACCCTGTATGCCTCGGGGAACACCTCCCTTGACAAGGTGCTCCAGAGCCTCGCTGTTCGCTGAAAGATCGAGTCTTTGGAAAGAGATGTTCTGCAGGTCTCCAGGTGAAAATGGAGCTTTCATCTTTGTCGGCAATTTTATTCTATGCTAAGCATGACAATGAACGTGGAACACAATATTCATTCAAGCAAAATTATGCAATCAGATTTTTTTTTATGTTCTGGATCCCACGAAAAGGTATATCCTGTAATGTACAGAGAACATCGTGAGAACCAAGGGAAATAAGGTAGGAATTGGTGTTCCTACTGGATTTCTGGAGGTTATATGCCTAGGGGAATACCTTCCTAGGCAATGTGTTCCAGAGCCTTGCTGTTCCTTGCATGAACGAGTCTTTGGAAAGAGATGTGCGAAGAGGGGTGCGAAGCCTCAACTTGACGGGTTAATCTCACGGGGACAGCCAAGGGAGGAACAATTGTTGATATTTCAGAAGAGCATCATCCATGGAAATATCTATAAAATAGAGCCAGATCGCCAACTTTTCTACGGTGTTCCAGAGAAGTGATTGAGTTTGTGAGCGAGGCATAACCCACGAGAATTCTTTATGATAATCTCTAACCAATTATGGATACAGGGGTGTCCTATTTGAAGATATAGAGTTAAGAGTCGTTTCCGGTGAAAACAGAAGTGATGGAAGAGTATGGAATATTGCAAAATTTTCCAATTCTCCAATCCAATACCCCAGCCAAATTTGAATCTCATAAACCTCCGAACTCTGATGGAAACCATGACTTGTCTAATAATTTAGTAAGAAACCGTCGAAAGAATTTCTTGTTCCTCTTCATAGCATTTGTTATTCAAATTCTGGAACCTGAATCATATTTCAGGATACCTGTTGGTGTTATTGGTGAAATGATTCGCAGATCATAACATTCCAACGTCTCATGGGAAAATCTACTGTCCAATAATGGTATATGCATAATGATCTCCTGTAAGAAGTACACTTTTATCAGTCCATAATATTTCTTATTTATGTGCCTTCCGCTTAGGTTGGCTTTGACGTGTTAGTTTCAGATCAATCTGATGTGAATCAAAAGCAGCAGATATGGCTTTTTTATTGTCGGTTTCATAGTACAGGAAATATTTGATTTACTCATTTACTGTGTCAAATCCTGTTTTTGTATCAAATGTTGATTTTTGTAATAAGAGGCTCAATGGTGAAGTAATTTTCGATATACAGGGTGTCCCGAAATAAGCCAGCCAAACTTTACCAGCGGCTTCTACGACAAATGTCTCTTGAGGAAGCTACGGTTCCCTGAAAGGGCGCTCCTGAAGAGGATATCTCTTGAATATTTCCGAAACGTCACGCGGAAAAATGATGCAATCTGGTACAAGAAATGAACTTTCCATTCACAATGCGGTGACCATAAAATCATTCCAAAGTTTTATTCAGGAGTGTATAATACAGGGTGGGACTCATTAAATATTGCTCTAAACTTTTTTGTATCCGTATTCTTCGACAATTCAATCTCGAATTATGAAAATCCACACCATTTAAAAAAAAGCTGCTCTTGTGCCGCATCGATCAGATGTATCATTTCCGAGTGAAATTGATTTAAAAATATTGACAATTCTCAAATCATAGTGGCTATAAAAAAATTAACTACTTTTTCTTCACCAAACAATCTCATTAAAGCGCGGAAATGATAGGAGAATGATGATAAAAAAAACTACTTGAATTTTTGTGCATTTTTTTCCATTTCCACTACGACTCATTGCAATGTTATGCATTATATCTGAGTTGTAACAATACTTC